AACTATGCTTTGTGTCAATTTTATTTTTTTGTTAAGGCTGTTTTTTTTTAATACCTTATATTCATCTTACTTGATTGATTTTTCGTATTTGAAAATTTAAAAGGTAATCATTGATTCACAAACACTCACATATAAATTTTATTAACAAAAATTTGGGGTTGGATAAAATGCATTAAATTGGAATTAACATTTTTGAAATAAATTTAATATTTTTTTTAAGTAAAAAGCTAATTTCGTTTTCGATTACTGAAAAGGAAACAGAGAAAAAAATCCATGCAACATTGGCTTTCAATTGGTGGAAAAATAATAGTAATAATAATATTGATCTTTTATAAGTAGAATAGAATTTATGAACCGTTTAGAAATTCATACACATTGGCTTTGAATTCAAAAGAAATGAGAAATCGAAATTTTTCAAAATACAGAATGAAAATTATTTTCGTTCTAATCTTTCACGGTATAATTTTCCATTCTCCTACACCATTAAAATATTATGTTTTCAATTATTCACTAGTATTTCACTCGTGCACTGAACATACTTTAATTTTAAAATGAAAAATAATAATAATATATATATTTGTAACAACTCTAATTCAAGTAAAATAAAATGAAAGGAAATAAAAAGAGATAATCTTTATTTTTTTAATTTAGAGTCGTAACATATAAAATTCAATTAAATATTACAAAGAAGGAGACGCAAAGCGCGATATGAAAATTAAGTGAAAGGGTAAATTGCAGCCCACCCTTCCACGTCCACCCTTATGGTGTCAAATTTAACATAATCTTTCAAAGTATGTCGAATGTTCTCTAGTCTGTACTCGTCTTTGCCCAGTCCATTTAATCATATGTCAGTAAAATCGTAAATTTGTGCAGCCTGACGACATAATCGAATACCTCGATCATTTTGCTTGAAAAGCAGCTAAATATATTCCATTATTTCTTTTTTCTAAGCCTAAACCCTATATATATTCTAATCTTCCAAAGCACAGGACATATAATTTTTTTAGAATGGAAAGAAAAGTACAAAATATCACAAAAATAGTTATTAAATGAAGCCTTTGGGCACTTATGAAATGGTAATGAGTTGAGAAATAAATGTAATCCTTCTCATTTAAAAAAAAGGGCAAATGGCAAAAAGGCCCATCACGTGGGACTTAAATGCATTTTAGTCCACAAATAAAACAGTCTCTCAATTAAGCCCATCCCCATGTCTTTAGTCTAAAATACCCTCAATAATATAATTCTTAGAGTAAAAAGCAGTTTGCCCCCTAAACTAAAGGCCGTTTTGCACTTTACCCCCCAAACAAAAAAAATTGCACGTTTTTACCTAAACTTGTTAATTTGTTGCACGGTGCCCCCTAAACTGAATTTTCCTATAAATTTGACCGGAATGCTAAAACATGTGCTTTGCACGTGATATTTGCAGGGATAAATTTGTCCATTCACCTACATTCTATATATTAAATATAAAAATAATAATTGAAATTAAAAAAAACGTCATCTTCTTCCCTTCACCCACCACCCCCAAACTCATCCCCTGCCAAAAGTTCCGTCTGCCACCGTAAACCTGAACAATAGGAAAAATCGTAGGCTGCAACAAACCGATCAAAAAAATCCTAAATCCCAAATTCACCAAAACAACAACCAAATTCGAAGTCGAATCAACATTAAAATAAGCATTACAGGCCCAACACAGACAAACCACCGCCTCCGACCCTCTTTCTTAACAAACTCTGCTCACCTCCAAACACAATCAAGCTGATAAACGAAAGTGATATTTCGAAAGCGGAAGCATACGGCAGCGGGTGCGGGGAAGAGACGTACAAGAGGAAACGGAGAAGATAAGGAAAAGGAAAACGGTGGTAAAAGGGGAAAAGAAAGAGGGTTTTGGAGAGGAAAAATAGAGAA